CTACCTCAGCCTCTCATATAGCTGAGACTGCAGATGCGTGGCACTATACCCAAGCAGAAAAGCAACATTTACTGCAGAAAAAAGAGAAACAATGGAGAAACAGTAGGAAGCAAATTGTCTTTATATTCAAATGTTTTGGTTATGTGTAATGTTTTCCTCATTATCGTTTACCTTATTAGAGAGGCTCTTTTTCCATCTGATTTTAAAGATCTGACCCTCCCAAACAAAAGAGCATCCCAGATGATTTTCAATGAGCTCATAGGGCGAGGCCAAATCTGACAGAAGCTGTTAAGTCTATACCTCACCTTCTTACCCTCAGCTCTGCAGCAAGGTATGGAGCAGAATGTTCTGGCAAACATGTCAACTGGGCAGGCCCCAGTCCCCCCACCTCCAGTCAACATGCAGTTCGCCACAGAAATGACTGCTGCTTTCAAGCTGGCAGCATTGTATATTTCAAAAATCCCCAAATGGTTTATAAATAATTATCTAAACACTTCTTGACTCACAGAAGACGACCATAAATGGAGGTGGTGATGTGCTCTGTCACTGGTTACAAAGCATCTCTGAAACAAGGCAGACCATGGGATGTGGGATTTTGCAAGTTCCCACTCATTAGCTTGTGTGCATATCATCTAACTCCTCTTAATAACCACTGGCCAAGATGGTACATGTTCACATTTGAGATATATGTGCAAAGATCTGATCTGCGTCAATATTTTAGCCAGTTCTAACTCTACTGGGTCTAGTTAAAAGAAATATTAGCAAAAGTCAAGTGGACTCATTTTAAATTTTAATCAACTTAATCATATAAAAATGTTTTAAAGAACTGTAATGAAAATTGACATTGCCTTTACTATTTTTTTAAATATACAAAACATAGTTAGCAGTGATTCTGTCTATTGTTTCAGATGACTGCTCTTTGCTCTCTGCCATCCAGATGACTTATGGTTTGGTTTGAGCTGTAATCTGCCCAAGAAACCTATGTTCTGATCTTTCCTGTGTAGGCTGATATACATAAAATTTTACTTACTGTTCATTCATAATGTCGTTTAATTCT